GAGAAATCCGAGGGGCTGGCAGAAGGCCCAAAAAAGCCTGCTAGCCGCCAAACCAACATGAAACCACGGCAGGCCCTGTTAGAGGAAGACGGTCTTCCAGGGGGTGTTGCATATGTTGATTTGCAGGCACCTAGAGTGGGTATTCAGGAAAAGCAGAGGCGACGATTCTGGTTGGCCGGAGTGGGTGGAGCTCCAAAACAGGGTGTGTGTGTGTGTGTGTGTGTGTGTTTCAGTGGGTGCCCACAAAAATCACGACCTTTTTGCAACTGGATATGAACACCAAGCATGATTGTTTCCCTTTGCCTTCAAGTTCCTTCCAAAGAAAGACACAACAATCAACATGCAACGCATCAAGTGTGGATACAACTTAAGTTGACATAATTTAACATATATATATATATATGTGTTATATGTGTATATATATATATATATATTTAGTTAGTTATTTATTTATTTACTTATTAATAATACCATATAACATAACATAGCACAAGATAATCCTGCTGCGCTGTGTGTCTTCGAGCTCGAAGAGCGAGGGCAACCCTACCCGTAGGGTATACCGCTGACGTGTTTTGTTGCACCCCAAGATCCTCCTCAGCATTGCCTGCATCACCTGCACGCAGGCCGGCCCAAACACTTGGACCCCAAAACATCCCCGGCCTCCCTGGCCTTGCGACGGGCTTCTGATGCCACGTTGCCCGACCGTCAAAAAACACTGCAAATACCGTGCACTCGCCCCGGACAGTCGCCAGCATCTCCGCCAACATCCTCCGCACCCTCGCAAACTTCGCCAGCATCCTCGGCATTCCCTGCATCACCAGCATCTGGGCGTTCCAGCGTCTCTTACATCCCCTGCATCCCCTGCATTGCTCAAACCGTTCAAAAAATGGCCCTCTGAGAGTAGGTTTTGGCCGTAGGCGGACGTGGCGGGCCAGTCTGCGAACCAGTGAGTGGCTTTTCTTGCGCAAGCGCGGCCGCCGCCGCTGTGCGGAAAGCATCGCGCATACCGTGTGTTTTCTGCATTTTTCCACCGGGTTCTGTGGGGCTGGGACGGGCTGCCGGGGATGCATTTTTTGGTCTGATTGGCTTCGGTGTGAGACACGTGCGGGGCGCGCGCGCCGAACGCAAGCAGGCGCACGTGCGCTCAAGCTAGGCTGGGTGAGTGCACAGGGGGGTTGGGCAAGCAGCCTTACAACCTCTTACGCGTGTGCGTTCGCAGCGAGCGCGTGCTTGGGTGGTCCGGAGGCCAGGCTCTGAAACAAGGTTGCGCCTAAACAGAGTTCTTCTTGGTGCTCCCCATCTCACTTGTCCGACCGGCCAGCGCAGCTGGTGATGGCGCACCCCTAGGATACAACATAATATAATACGATCATAGCTGATTATAGCTATATTATATAACTCATGGTTATAGTACATAGTACATAGCAGAAGTTATTTACTAATGTAGTAGATAGGAAAGCACATTGAACACACAAAGATATATTATGGGTGTCTCAAGTCTCAAGCAACATGGAGCCTCTTTGGGGATGCAGGGAACCCAAATCTGCAGGAGATCGTCAAGGCTTGGCGTAGCAAGTCCTTACAGCCTGGGAGCCCAGCTGCCGATTTTGAGACCGGAGTTTCTTGTACATAGGTGTCCTTTTTAGGTTAGTTTGATTTCAAACACGAGGCACTGGTTTTGACTGGCTCTATTCCATTTACCGGCCATCTATTTTACCAAATGGACATGTTTTTGTAGCTAACGGCTGCAAGCTACCTTGTATGGGGTCGATAGGCCCAGAAATCGAATGCGATTTCTGGGGTGGTTTGGGGCATTGGGGGTACCTGGGCTTATTCCTCTTTGGTCTGCTTGTAACGCAACGCCAAAAAAGGGTACCCCACCGAATTCTGATGTCCACCAGCCCAGTGGAGTAGTGTGAACTTCAGATGTATATGGACCCTGCTAAGCAGAAACTTTGTCCAGATTGCGCCTGGTTTCCGTTTGTGACGTGTTGTGCGAGGGGCCGTCCTTTGAAGCCAATGTTTGGTGAATACCGTTTCTGTTTCTTGTTTTTTGCGGAAGCCCGAAAGAGGAGACAAAAACATTTCGGGGTCCAAGTTCTAGACAAGCCCTGCTATGTGAGAGGACCCTGTGTAGCCTTTTCTGGCCTGCTTGTCAAGTGAGCCCCTGGCCTTTTTGGGAATGATAGTGACGCCTTGCACCTTGATGCAAGAAATTGGAGAACCAAATTTGAAGGTGTGTAACTCACACCCCCTCCAAACACCCGCCGCTTTTTAAGGATGCAGAAGATATGGAGCGGCCCGGTGTTTGAATATGTATCCAAAACCCAGTGTGTATTTGGAGTACCGGTCACCTGTTTTCACAGGAAAAAGTTCTTTAACTGAGCAGGTCAGAAAACGAAATCAAACATTTGGACAAACAAGGAAGCCGTTGACCCATGCTGCGCGATGGAAAAGGTGTCATCATTTTAGCGAGGGCCCAGCAACAACGAGTTGTTTTTTTCTTCGGGGCAGTTTGAGGAGATAACTTGATGTTTACCTCTGACCAGAAGGTTCTTCCATGCACCTAAACAGTTCCGCACATGATCCTGTCACTTTTGCCTGACTTTGGTGTTTTTCAGGTACCCCCACCCAATGTTTACTTTGTTAACCGCGTGTTTTTTTTGTGAGGAAGTCAATCTGAGGTATCACCCGGACAAGGTTCCGGACGAGAAGAAGGAGAAGACTGGCTACCATGGACCACGGGACATGCCCTTCAAAGGTGTTGGTTGGAGAAAAGGTTTTGGTTACAGGAACATCTGCAGGAAATGGCCCCAAAGCACTGCACATAAGCTGTTGCCCTGCAGAAAGCCTTCCAACCATTCTGAACCCAAGAATCCGAATCTTTCTAGAAAACCTCCGAAAGTCCAGGTTGAGAACAGCGATCGGTTTTTGAACAGAACGATGGTTGAACAGAATGGTTGCCTGGGACCTCCATATGGCCGTTTTGCTTGGGTCATACGCTGATGACCGAAAGAACAAGTTCCGTACTGATTTGTTACGGCTGTGTTTCTCACTAAATGTTGCAAACTTGCGGAGCGGGGTGCCAGGTGGAATCAACCCCTAGAACTACTTCTAACCTTCTCTTGAATTCTCCAGTTGGACACCCCTGTCTTTTAGGGTGGAAAACCCATATTTCCAACAGGGGCGGATCAGATGGAACCTACAGATACACGAAAATCAGGGGGGCTGGGGTTTCTTCGGTGTTTTGAGGAAGCCACATGACGTGTGTTTTGAGGAAATCGCCTGGTTTTTTCGGCCAACCGATAAATGTGTTGGGGATCCCCATCCTCTGAGAACATCCATTTTTTCATGTCACTTGCAGGAGGAGGCGGAAGAGATGATGAAGCGTTTAAACCTGGCCAAGGTGAACATGACGAAGCGCCGGCCCCAGCAGACAGAAAGAGGTATCTTGACATCGCGATAGTCCAAACAATCGGGTTACAAATACATTCAGCTGTTGTTTGTTATGAGCGGCGGCGGAACGGCATCTGCTCACCAACGGCACCCTGTGTTCGTTCTTTTTTCAGCTCCCCAACGAGTCACTCAAAGTTTGCTGGCTCCGGTAGTGTTGATCCGTTATGCCAAGGATTTGGATCCCGCCAAACCAGGCATGCATTTTTTTGCGCAGATATATTGGGCGAAGGGCTGTTGGCGTCATCTATATCTGAGGGGCCCAACAGGTGGTCTCCACTCGATTTCAGAGCCGCCGAAAGGGACGCCGAAGCATATATTGTTTTTCGGGGCTTGAGTCACAGCTCGAATTTGGATTAAATGGGAAACCGACACCTCTAAGCCAGCAATCCAAATCACCAATCAGAGAAAAAGCTGCTGAAAGCTGAAGGAGCGCAAATAATATACAGGGCTGAAAGTCGTCTCATAGAATACTCCTCTCATCGTGACGAAATGTTCCAAGACGGTTTCCACCCCCAAACCACTGCCCCCTGTAGTGGAAGCCATCTTCGATACATTTGGCTCAGTGTCCCGATGGACTTCCCGACCTTTCGCGTGGGAAAATCCGCAAGGTCTGCCAGGGACGCCCCGGTGCCGGAAGACTCCCCCACGGCGGAGGTGCGGCTCAATGGCCGGGGCCGAGGGCTTTCTCATCATGCGCTGTGTCACAGCTCTTGATGTCGTGGGTGAGAGTTGTTCGCATTATGTTTTGATGGGAAAGAGTGCTGGATGTGTCGACCTACATGCTGTTGCTAGCTGGTGGTTGGACGGGAGCCGGACAAGGAGCTGGGGTTATCCAGGCTTGGTTTAAGTAGGGAGCCATGAGCACTTCTCGATTCACATGGTAGGTGAGAATTCTACTGTTGATTTTTGATGGGAAAGAGTTCTGGATGATTCGCCTTGTTAGATCCGCTTGGTTCTTTTTGGGGCCGTAGGGTTTCGGTCCTTATGCGTGACGGACCATATGTGCCATGGTTGAAAACCCCCCAATTCTTGGGGTTGAGGATGGTCATGCAAGCTGTAGTAGAGATTTTAGACCAGTAATAAGGGTTGCTACTAAGGGAGCCATGACCACAATCCCACAACGAGTTTTGACCGTGGCACATGAAATGCAGCGGTGCCCTGTTCTTCCTTTTTTTGGAGCGCCCGTTTTTCCCATGGCCATTGGGGAGTCTGAAAACAGAGGGCGGCAAGGTTGGGGTTCGATATGATCAAATGAGATCACTTTTTGATTTTCTCAGCTGTGCGTTTGGCCCTTCGGGGAGTGGGAAAGCGCCAACGAGAAGCCAAAAACAAGATGACATGGCTGTTGGTTGGGGGTGGACCAGCCTCGGCTTCGCTTGGGAGAGGGCGACTTCAATGCCCTTCACATGGCAGTTCAAACATCATTTGCGGTCCCAGTCCAGTATTTTGAGGCTGAGTAGATTTGCTTGAGGGTACCCTTTTTGGGCGGTTTTTGAATGGGCAACGGACATTGAGCCACATGCGCGTCTTCGTCGCCGCTTTCGGCTCAGCTCGCTTTTTTATCGGCGGAACGCCTCGTTTTTTCGGCCCGCGGCGGCGAGTGTCGGCGAGCCGGCCGAGTTTTTGCAGCGACCCGGCGGCTTTCAGGGGCCTTCCTCGGCTCGTGGGGTTGGAGCTGGCGTTTCAGGTAAAGTCCGGGGGTGCTGTTGGGATTCCACTTGGGCTCTGAGACTGGGATCTCCAAAAAATCAAGCAGATCTCACCTTTCATCGACCCCGAGGCTTCGGAGGATTTTTCGGGCAGCTGGGTTGAAAGAACGGCAGGCAACCAGGTTTTGACGGAAAAAGCCTTGAAACGATCATACGTTTTGTTTCACAGTTTGAGCGAGACCCATCTAGAAATCCATTTGGTGTAACTGCAGTTTTGCTCACTCAAAACTAAGGAAGTAGAACTCCTTTGGAGGGATGTTTGTCGCCAGCTTTCCCACGTGGCAGAGAACCCACTTCCAAGATCAGGAATGTGGATGAACCCCGCAAGTCTGGGACGAGGTGGTGGGTTCCAAACAACAGGGGGTCATCCTTCAATATTTGGCAAAACCTTTTAAATCAGGAACCTCAACAACATGGTGTCCAGAGGGTGCCCGAATAGAAGCTAACTCATGGCGGTTGTCGACCCCTGAGGGCTCACTGTGCAGCTGAGCAGCCATTGGATAAATGGGACATCGCTCACCAAGCAGTGGCCACTTCTTTCTTTCTTGCATTTCGACCTTTTTTGGGGCATATCTGGCAAGTGCCTTCCCCCCCGTTTGGTAACATGGGTGGCCTTCTCGCCGGGCACCGGCAACCACCCGCCTTCGACGCTTCGCCGATTTGGCTCCGAGGCGCAGTCCACTTGTCGCCCCGATGGCGTGCAGCTTCCCCACAAGCCAAGCCATCGTGGTCGGGGGCGGCCTCGGGGGCATGTCCGCGGCCAACACGGTGGCGCCTCGACTCGGAGAGATTAGAACATGGCCATGGCTTTTGGTTTCTTTTGGTGCGTGCGCGCGCGTGTGTGTGTGTGTGTGTGTGTCAGGTTATTGGCTTCAGGCTCTTCCTCATTTTTTTTCCGGGGGGGGAGTGTTGGGGAATGTACGGGAAACAGCCCATAAACGTTATTGAAGCTTTCCTGGTTTGAAACAATCACATATGCTTCTCCACGATAGTTTTGGCGAAACACACACACACACACACACACTCACGCAAAAATCCCGTTCGGAGATTCCCAGAACAAGGAATCGTCAAACGACGGCCCGCACCCCCGCACTCCCTCAGCCACCCACTCACCCTACGCACCCACCTCACCCCAGACAAAACCCACCACCCACGCACACACAGCACACACCCACCCACCCACCCACACCACCCAACCCACACACGCACGCACGCACGCACGCACTCACGCACATGCACGCACGCACGCACAGCGCAGGCGGAGGGCATAAACACAAGCAGACGCGCACACACGCACCACCCACGCACACACGCAACACACGCGGCACACACAGCTGCCGCAGACGACGCTCACCGAACTACGCGCAGAGAAGACCGCCAAAGACAAACGCGCAAACGCGCACTAATATACGCGCAACACGCTCACACGGCGCACATACGCGCACTAACTCGCAACAACTCGCACTTAAACTCGCACACCCGCACTAGCGCACAAACGCGCAAAAACAACACCAGCCAACACACACACGCACACACACCCACACACAAACGCACACACGCACCCACCAACTCACACAATACGCGCACAGGACACTGGGCGCTTCACAATCCCACGACCACCACATAGCTCACTTAAAAACTGCGCACATGAACTCGCAGGACCGCTCACACCGCAACACAACGCCACACGAAAAAATCCTCCACACACAGTACACGCACACACACACACACACACACGCACACCCACACACACACACCCACACAATACACACCACAACACACCTCACACACACTCACACCACACCCCCCCTTCATCCACTCACCACAAACACACGCCCACGCACAACACACACCACAACACACACCGCACACAGACGCCCACAGACACACGCACACCACACGCGCACACCCGCGCACACACGCGCACTACACCACAAACACAAGACGCACATACACACACACACAACACACCCCACACTCACCCACAACACACACACACACACACCCACAACTGTCTCAACGCCACGCGCACGGGAGCAAAACGCACACCGCACACGCACCAACGCGCACCAACGCGCACGCGCACGCGCACAGCGCACGCACAGCGCACGCGCACGCGCACAAAACAGCGCACGCTGCACACATCGCAACGCTCGACGCCTCACGTCGCACTACTCGCACCGGTAACAAAAACCCACCAAGAGCGCATACGCTCACTTCGCACCAGCGCAACTGGGCCAACAGTCGCTACCAATTAACCCCGACCCAAAACTTACAGAGCGCTACAACAGCAAAGCGCACGCGCCAACACTCGCACGCCGCACTTCGCACGGCAGCACCAAAACACGCGCACTCAGCGCAACCTCAAGCGCTACTCGCACTCGCGCTCCCGAACGCTCACTCTCACGCTGCACGCGCCACTAGCGCACGGCTCACGAAACAACGCACATACATTCACACGCACACGCACACTCACACTCACACGCGCACGCACACACAACGCACACAACGGACACAAGGGACACAACGCACACAACGCACACAACGCACACAACGCACACAACGCGCACAACGCCCACAACGCACACAACGCACACAACGCACACAACGCACACAACACACACAACACACACAACCCACACACAAGACACGCAAACAAGACACGCAACACACGCAACACAGGCAACACACACAACGCACACAACGCACACACACAACACACCCACACACCCACACACCCCCACACCCACACACCCACACACACCCACACACCCACACACACCCACACACCCACACACCCACACACCCACACACTCGCCCACCCACCCACGCACGCACGCACGCACCCAGCACACACAGACACACTCACGCACGCACGCCTAAATGTTTGGTACCACCACCACCACCGAATCCACCTTCACAAAATGGGTGCGGATGTGGCGCCCTCTTGATTGTTTCTGTTGGTGCCAGGTGTTGAGTGCTAGGGAACCCATTTGCCCCCCAAACCTGCAACAAAGGGTGCAACATCCCAATGGCTGGTTTCACCCACACAAACACCGGGCGATGACTGCTCACGTAGCAAGTTGTAATGACTTATGAAATGCCCAGCCAGCAACCTCCCTAAAAGATTCCCACAAAAACCAGCAAACTCACCAACATATGCCGGCCAACGAAAAAACTAGCAACCTCCCCCCCCTCCAATTTCCCTCACGAAAGACGAGCCGTGAACAAAACAAACCTTTCACATCCTAAGCCAAAGCTGTGAAACGGTCACCCGGGCGGCTCCAGGTGGAGAACGGGGGCCGGGTGGTGCTGTTGGACAAGAGCTCCTTCTGCGGGGGCAACTCCACCAAAGCCACCAGCGGCATCAACGGTGCAGGCACCAAGACCCAGAAGGCGACGCGGTCGATGCATTCGCTATTGCAGGGGGGGGGGGGGCGCTGGGCCCCGGTATCTGTTTTGCTGGGGGTCCCCAAAATCAAGATGGGTTGAAACTTCAAAATGGTGACCCTCCAAAAAGGGAGGGAGCCGTTTGTGAAGGCATCCAAAACAGATACCTTCAAGAAAGACACATGTATGGGTGTGGCTGACACAGGTTGCCTGTTCAGATGCATTTTCATAGGGAACCCGCCCATGTGGCCCATGTGAATCTGAAGCAAAACAGGGCCCCACGCGTTTGACCAAACTTGGTTGCGGAACATGTTGTTTTGGGTGCCAGATGTTGCCCGTGTCTGGCCAAGGGAATCTCCTTTTTGAGAGATAATCTGACAAAGGAGTCATTCGTGTTCCCAAGGGTGAGTTTCCACCATTCGCGCGAGCACTTCGCTTGGCCAATCGGCATCTGCTCGATGACGTTTACGGATCGCCGATGGTCGGGAAGTTGAAGCTGAAATGGTCAGAAATCAACCGGGATCTCTGAAGGCTGACGCGTGAAACAAATCTGGGTGGGGTGCAAAGGGAAGTTTTCAGAAACATCGGTCGTCCGGTTTTGGTCGACGAGTGCTCTGCAAACCCTAATCAGGCCACTAGGGCCTTCCTGATTGGCTCCCTTTGTTTGGGTTAGAAACAAACGCCAGACCCCAAAGAGAGCTTTCGAGAGGCCAAGGGCATCCCGGACAACGCGGACATCTTCACGCAGGACTTGTGGGCGGGTGACCTTTGGGAAGTCCATGAGATCCAGCTATGGTTCCACGTGTGCCGTGGTCTTTTTGGTCGGTTCCGTTCCTTGGGGTGAACGTTGGGACGGTCATCCACATAGTGTGGATCTTGAATAACCATTCTAATGATGCCCACGAAGGGAGCCATGACCATAGGCCACTTTCATGTTCCTTCTGCGAAAGCTTGAGCGTGACGAAAGAAATTGGGGAACACCGCCTGGAATCCGGAATTCCGTGTGGGTGTGGTGCTCTCTTTTCTGAGTTGGTACCCTTTTTGGGCGGGCATTTTGGAGGTTCCTCTATTTTGAGACACGGCCATTTATACAAATTGGACGAATTTCTCCGACGTGCGATAAGGGGGGGGAAGGGCCCCTTTCCCTCACTTCCTGAGTGGATTGGCCAACCACAAGGCCAAACTTTTTGCATTTTCCGCAAAATTCGTCCACCCAAAAAGTGACTTTTTGTCCGGGAACTTTAAAAGTGAGTGCCTGAGGGGGGATTCCTTCTTCTAAGGTTCGGGGTGGAGTGTCCCCCGAGTCATTCCATTTTTCTTTACCGGGATGGCCGAATTGAAACCAAGAATTGGACCACAGGTTTTAGTCCTTGTTTCCGTTTACCAGGGCAACCCATTTGGGGTTACTCTATTTTTGACCCAGGCTGAGTGTCTCCAGATATTCCATTTGCTACACTCGGTCTTTCATTCCCTACCAAGGCGCGGTGAGGGCGGCCTTCCCCCGAGGACACGCTGAAGGGCGGGGCCAAGAAGCCGGAGCTGGCGAAGCTGCTCTGCGTGAACTCCGCGGCGGACGTGGACTGGCTGGCGCCTCGCCGGGTTTCCGAAGCGGTTGCCGAATCCGAATGGGTGGGGCGGGTAAGGCAAGCGACTGGGTGTGTGGTGGTTCAGTCACCTTCTAAGGAAAATGGCCTTTAGTACCTTGGAATAGTATAAGGGGCAAAAGAACAAATTCGGACTTTGGTTGGCCGGCCCAAGTATTTGTAGTTGAGAAGTGACTTGAAGCAAAGGGACGCTTGAAAGTCAGCTTCTCAAGAAGCAAACCCTGAATGCTTGGGGGACAAGCCTTGCTAGGGTATATCCCAGGACCTATGTGTCAACCCAGAAGACTGTTACTATGCATATATGAAAAGAACGCACACAAGAACCGTCCGGAAATCGCAACAGAAACATCAGAGGAACCAGCTGGTGTTTGAAAGGAACGATGGTTGGCAAGAATGAAAAAGCAATCGATCCCACGACAGCGACCAAATAGCAGGGACATGGGATGCGGGGCAAGGGATATGAGAGGCCCCTACACTTTCGGGTACCATTGTAGCCATGTCCACATCCCCGCTTTGTCCAACCGCAAACTTCCATTGCTTAATGGAAAATAGATTGAAATGTATGGCTCACGTGTTTTGTCGAGACGATATCCACGGCTCATATGTACCTCTTTTAGCCACAGCCACACACACCCAAACCACACAGGAAACAGCTGGTGCTTCGCCAGTTTGTTTGTCCGAGGCGATTTCCCCTCTTAAAGGGCTACTAAACGCCAATCCAATTGTTTCTTGTTTCCAAACGCAAAAAGCGTGGAGACATGAATCATACCAAGCTGCCATGTCTCTACCTTCTTTTTGAGCCACTTAGCTAAAGAAAACCATGAATCTAGAGGGGTTGATTCCCCATTCTTTTCAACCATCGTTCTTTTCAAGAAATCCGGCTGGTTCCCCTTGGTTTTTGATGGTTTCCTGAAAAGAAAAAATGGAAAGAATGGAAATGGAAGGTACCCTGGAATGAAGAGATCTTCGGCTCACAGCGGGCTCTTGGGGCGTGAGAGGTGGAGAAGTTCAACCTGGACCTGTCGCTGGTGGCGCGGCTCGGGGGCCACTCGCAGCCGCGGACCCACCGGGGCAAGGAGCGGTTCCCGGGGATGACCATCACCTACGCGCTGATCCAAATGCTCGAGAAGGCAAGTTTTTGTCGTTATGGTTCGAATGTTCTGGGGGGTGTCGGTTTGGTTGGGTTGGGTTGGGGGCAGGTTGGGTGAGAGTTGGGGGTAGGTTGGGTGAGAGTTGGGTAGTTGGTTTGGGTTGTTGTGGCTGGGTTTGGGTTAGGTTGGGTGGCTGGAGTTGGAAGGCAGCTAGAGATACGTTTTTCCTCGAATTGTGTTTTTGGCGAATGTTCCTTTGGCAGGAGGCGAGTTGTTTGTCTGGGGGGGGGGGCGGGGATTCCAGAGATTGCTTGGTTACCTGGTTGGTCCAACTGCTCGAGAAGCCGTGGATTCAGGATTTGGTTGATAGAATCCAAGGATGGGGCATGATGGTTGGTCCTTTGGCGAATGGGACTGGTTAGTTGGAGAAGGCGCACTATTTTCTTGGAACATGTTTGCATGCCATGAGGGTTGTATTTGGTCAATGCTTGTTCCGTTGGATGGTTGTTGATCCAATTGCTGGACAAGGCAAGAGGTGAATTTGGGAAAGTCTTTGGTCGGTTGGATGGTTGGATGGTTGGATGGTTGGATGGTTGGATGGTTGGATGGTTGGATGGTTGGATGGTTGGATGGTTGGATGGTTGGATGGTTGGATGGTTGGATGGTTGGATGGTTGGATGGTTGGATGGTTGGATGGTTGGATGGTTGGATGGTTGGATGGTTGGATGGTTGGATGGTTGGTTGGTTGGTTGGTTGGTTGGTTGGTTGGTTGGTTGGTTGGTTGGTTGGTTGGTTGGTTGGTTGGTTGGTTGGTTGGTTGGTTGGTTGGTTGGTTGGTTGGTTCAGGTTGGGAGATTTAGTCTAAACCTGGTTGTTTGGTTTGGTTGGGTTGGGGTTTGTTTGGCTTGTTGGGTTTGTTTGGCTTGTTGGGTTTGTTGGGTTTGTTGGGTTTGTTGGGTTGGTTGGGATGGTTGGGTTGGTTGGGATGGTTGGGTTGGTTGGGTTGGTAGGTTGGCTTGTTTCGTTGGTAGTTTGGTCTGCCACCCGGTTGGCGTTTGGTTTGAAAAGAGTTGGTATTGGGACCCCACGTCTTTTTACTTTGGGCCAAACTTTCTGCGTGATAGGTCCCAAAAGCTACCCCCCAAACGAACTACCCCCAAACAGGCCTCATTTTGCTTTACTTGGACCCTTCACCATTCCCCCCCCCCCCAGCTTAGGGTCCTTTTAGGGACCAACTTTGGATCCTGACG